CTGGAAGTAAAACTGACCAGCTGTGGTATGGCTACACTTCGACAGGTTTGAATTCCTCTTTCCTCGGTAAACACCAAAACTCAGCCATTTGCCAATAAAGTGACCTTTATATTGCATTCTCTGGTCTTGGCTACTGACCAAAACACTTCATTGCATTATCTGTTATGGTTTCTGAGGTCACAACTGATAATTGGCTACTTGAAATACTGAGAAAACCCACAAGCTGTAGTTTTAGCAGTTTTTAAGTAAATCTCCACTCTGTCATACCTGATGGTCTTCAAGAGCTATACGTAAAAACCGACCAGCTATCTAATGACTATGTCCTTCCTCATATATTCATTAACTCACTATCATGGTTGAACTTGTCCACAATTCAACTCCATGCAGCAGCTTGCCCATGAGCTTTCCCTGAGAAGATGAGCACAGAGACGTTTCCTGTCAAGAACTGAGAAACTATTTGCAAATTCAACAACTCCACTTCATCTGGTCTACAATATATTCACATATAAGAGTCTGAACTCCCCACAAGAGGACCAGTGACCTTTTCCACCTGTACTTACCCTGGCCACAGAAAAGGTAAAACCTATTCAAATTCCCAAGCCTAACAAACTCAGCCTTTTGCTGAGCTTGCCCTGAGTACAAACACAACTCCCAGTTATGAGTAGGACCTTGATCTTTACTTTTGTGCCACCATATTAGTAAAAGCCACATAAACCTCACACTACACTGTAGGTCACAGTCCAACTGTATCACCTCACTCTATCAGTTGCAGATTTCAGGAATATGCAGTGCAGAAAGTAAAATCAAGTTCATGATAATAAATGCAATTATGTCCAAGAATTGAACCTGAAAAGCCTCTCCCATCTCCCTCCTTTCTGAGCCAAGCTACAAGGCACTGAAGGACCAATCAATTTAAAAGGAAAAATTAAAGCAGTGTCTCAGTCTCTCTCAGATTCTGCAACACGAGAGAGTGCACTCACAGGAAAGCTCCTTCTCTCCGGATCTGGTGTATGAGCATCTTGGATCCAGGCACAGCTTACTGTCTGGTCCTGCAAGCTTTGAATTTATTTCAGTAACCACCGTTTAAAAAAATGGAGGCAGCCTGACAGTTATGTCTCCTAGGAGAAAGAATGAATTTGATTCTCTGTCCTGGTTTGAGCTCCATAGGTAATGCACTTAAAGCTCCTCATGTTTGGCCAAAATATAAAGGAAGGCAAGAAGGAAGAAGAAAAGGGAAAAAAATTTTTAAAAAAGGAAAGAAGAGAGACATATATCACCCTTAGTTTTTGATTGCTTTAAAGCAGTTCATAATGCTATCATAATTTTGATCCAAAATCCTAGGCTTTGCAGCATGCCCAAGATTGAACTCCTACAGTGTCTTGATGCAACAGGCAGAATCTTCTGAATTTTAACAGAGCTCTGGCACCAATCATTCAAACAGTTCAGCATGAGCAAAACTAAATTATCTCTGGTTGTAGTACAATGTCGCAATTCATCATAACCACCTAACAAATTACAGTGTACACTTCGGACTCAGGAGAGTTAAGAGCAAGATACAAATAAGGTTGTCAGCATCATGATTTTGAATTACTATAATTCTATCAAATTTTATCAATGGAATTTTATTAGATTGATATGAGTTGAGACTTCAACCTATATCCAAAGCGCATAAGTAAGCTTCAGATATCTCACCTTCTCAACTTCTTGCACCAAAAAGCACTTATCTCAGTCCATTTCAGCAAACTAAAACACACAAGCATAGCCGAGGTTACTCTCAGTCAAATTCCCTTTTATTTTCACAGATGTTAATTGCTAACAAAAGTAAACAAATCTGAAGTTCAGACTGAATCAATGAAACTTGTTCCAAAGACCTGGAAGAACAGACTTTACATAATTCTTTGTCACTTCAACCCTTGTTATTTCCTCTGCTGTGAAGTAAGATGTAACAGTGAAAACACATTTTCACATTTTAAGCTGTCATTAACATTTTTAAGCTATACATCCTCTGCATGAAAACCAATAAATATGTTAGTGTGAAAACAGACTAGAAAATCTCATTAATCTAGAAATACCATTAACCAGAAACTTTTTTCACATGTAGATGATTCTTGTTAGTGACCCACTTGGAAAATTTTCTCAGATTACCACATTTTGCACAGACTACACAGCATTCTTGGTTTCAGTCCAGATTTAAGAACTAATTCACTCCTTTCATAAAAAAATGCCAGTTCTAAACATACATAGCTGAAAATGGAAAGTGGCCTTAGGAGTTAAATGCTTTTGATGCAGCTGAAGCGAGACATACCAGAAGAAAATTAAATTCAGTGTTGAAGAGCATTTGAAAGCATTCTAGCAATTACACAGGAAGCTGATCACTACGAAGCTTTCAATCCAACTGTATCTTTGGAAAAGTCAGATTTAATACCACATTAGGTGACAATTTTTTAATATATTTGGTAACTCTGCTGAACACAGATCCTGCTTATTGCTTTGAAACATCCAACATAATCACTGGAACCTAGATGCTTGTCTAGAGTTCTTATAGCCAAAATTAAAAAGATCAAATAGAGGACGGTAGGAACAAAGGCACATGGTTAATTTATAAAAGTATTTACAGGGTTCTTGAATATTTGTTTCTATCTACCAGAAACTCATTCATCTTGAGTAAAAAAAGAAAAGACCAGTGAAACGTGTTAAAGGAGATCACGCTGAACAGATGTTCTTGAGCGGTATGAGTAGAGAACCTTACACATAATTATTTCCAGAACTTAATTTCTCATTTTGGATACGGAATTTCCAAAAATCAAAGTTCACAAACTTATCATTCCTCTAAGCACTGTGAAAATTTAGTGCAACCCTCTTGAAAGGTTGAAGCTGGCACGGTTAAGGCAGTCTGCTAACAGTACTTTAAAAATCAGCACACAGTGTTTAAGCATTGAGGTGCCTGGTGGTCTCTATTCGGAGAGCTGTCTCTTGAATCCTTCATCCTTCCAGCTGACGCGGTCTCAAACACAGCACGGTTTAAACATCACAGTTCTTGCAGTGTCTTGGGTTTTTTAGAGGTGGGAAGGGAGAAGGAACCTAACACAAGCTGTTGGCTCCACAAGTGACTGTAGGATGGCGAACGTCCAGGAGCTGACATGTAGCTTTAACGTACGTTGTGCTAACCTTTACAGGCTGCCAACAAGGTGCTTCTGAAACAAAACCCATTACATTCAAACTTTAAGCACTCTATAAAACTTGGTACTGTAATCTGCACTCCACTGAGAGTGTTTCAACATAGTCTGTTGCCTTAAGCAGATTAATCTTCCTAGGGTGCTAGGTTGTGGGGGTTTTCCCATGGAAGTTAACTGATGCACAAGCTCAAAAACCAAAAAAAACCCCAACCCTCTCTGAACACATCCACCAAACTTTAAGAAGACTTCATCTCACTCTGATTTTTGTCCTGCAGACCTGGAATAGTAATTTTGAAACTATTATCCTCAGGTATGGCAAAAGATTTTTACTGTAGTAGTACAGAAATGCTTTCCATTAAACGTCAATAAGGCGATGCCTTATTAAAAGGTGACTAGTGCTGCCTATGTACAGCTGATAGGTTGGGGCACCAGAACTGGACTTGAAGTGTTACAATATTCCAAAGAAGGAAAATAAAATAAACTGCATAGTATGTGATCCCTTTTATTCACCAAAGCTGCCCATATATATCCCAGGGGGAAGACAGCAGAACAGCTGCTCAGCCTTCAGATGCAGGTGTGCTTAGCTTCCATCTTGCACATTGCCACATTTCTTCAAAAGGACAACTACAGAAGCGGGAAGGAAAAAAGAAGAGAAAAAACAGAACAGCATTTTCAGGCAGACCAATATTCCTCAAATTTTTCATTGGAAACATTAAAGTAAATTTATTTATGATGAAAGTCATCAGAAGACTATTCTCCTGGATTTAAAATATTTTGGCTTTTTTCTTTGGGGGAAAAAAAAAAAAAAAAGAGAGAACCAATACACATTACTAAAACCACAGATGCTGTGGCTTTCCTGTCTGGTCCTCTCTCCTTACATATGTCCATACTGATGACAGAGACAGTTCCAAAGTCTAATCACTATCTAAATTAACAGGGTTGTAGTCAGGGTCATCCTCTTCATCCTCCAACTCTAAATCATCCATTTCTTGAAATAAAGATTCATCAACCTCCACACTGTTTCCAGCTGCAAAGAACAGATAAAGAATTTATTTTCATACAAGTAGGAGAATGGTACTCGAACAACAAAACGTGTAACACTTTTTCATACTTATTCTTCAGCATAGTTAGCTGTTAACTTACTTGGCTTTTTATGTATCAAACAGCTACTAATAAGGAAACACCACATTTTCTCTTTTTACAGCTGAAGTGAAGCTTTTTTTTTTTTTCTCATACCAAAACCCAGTCAAGAGAAATATCACACAGGATCTCAGAATCCACTGGGAGAATTACATTAATATATAGCAGCAAAGATTCTTTCTCCCAGGTACTGTCAAAGTAGGAGGTCAGGACCTCACAGCTGGAATACTTGCAACTATCATAACCACAGAAACACATACAGTTTATTAAAAAAAATCCTCCCATATCATGTATATGCCTACATATATGTATTTGCTTTTGGATTTAAATTTTAAAAGCAAGATGAAGCTTTGCATGCTTTCACATCTTTTCCAAAAAGGAATTATGTCAATGCAAGGACAAAACTTGAGAACAAGTGCTATTTTATTTGTGTGTATCAACAGTGACATCTTCTGGCCTCTGGATAAGACTGTTCTTTCACTGGGTTTGAAAGAGTTGTTATAACCATTTCTATTTAAAAGACAACGTCATTATCCTGTTTAAGCTGTAACAATTAGTACTATTTATTGCACAGCACTGTCATATTAAACTGCAGTTAGTAACCCTGTTGCATTTACGGATAGAATGCAAACAGCAATAAGAACAGGAATTTTTAATCACTAATAGCAAGACAATTAAAAAAATATATTAATCCCAGATCATTTAGGCATGGAGTCCAAATACAGAGGGGTCTGTTTCTGCTTTGAGACAGCCAAATGTTTCATCATCATCTTCACTTTTGAAGGAAGACAATGTTAAATTATGCCTTCTAACTAAGAAACTAAACTCCTCCACTACCGACATTTCAAGTCTATACTCACCAATGTTTCATTCCCTTCTGCATGTGTATTTGGCAACACTAGCAGACAATGCAGCTACATTAATGAATTGTCTTAACCCAAAAATTAGTCTTCTAAACTAAGATACTAAAAGGCAGCACAGAAAATTTTAGATAGGTGACTGTGAGTAGATTTATTTATCTCCAACAGATTTTCCAAGCTTAACATCTTTTGGTACGGGCTTACAAAATTTTCAGCTGGCACCAGCTCAGATATTTTTTGAAAGATAACAGACAAATCAGCACAAAACCATGAAGACTTGGTTTGCACAGAGGCAAAAAAAGATTTAATTTCACCTGCAAGACCTTTACTATTGCTGTTGAGGTTCACAGAGAAGGAGCCAATCTGTGCTTGAAATTCAGGGTAAGAAGGCTGGCTATTAGAAAACAAGAAAAACCAGGGTTTGGTTCTGTTCTCTCTGGTTTGGTTTTTTGAATTGTTTTGCTTGGTTTTGGTTCCAGTCCAAACACTTGAACAGAAGCAACAGAAACAAGATCAACTGAAGCTCAAAACTGCAAATAAATATTCTTTAGCATCTTGAAAATGTTTTCTTTGTTTCTGAAAAGTTAAAACTGTTCAATCAGCAAAACAGTAGTACTTTAAGTGTTCTTCACTTAAAGCGATGGAGTTAAGATGTTAAGTCAGAAATATAATAGAGACTCCGCTTAGGGATTTTGACCTATTTTAAGCCACTGTTTTTCAGTTGTAGAAGCAAACAGAAATTTACCTTCCTCCAAGAACTGGATGTCAGAGGTGTCAAGGTTGTGATCCATTTCAAACAGCTGTTTACCTGAAAATAAAATAAAAAATAATATATAAGCAAGTAGAATTCTGAAATAACTATAAATCTAGGGCAGCAATAGGTAGCACAGGTATTTTAAGCTTTTCAAATTAATCAATTTGAGCAGTAGGGTTTGGGGTTTTTGTTGTTGTTGTTTTTTCCAACTGCTCATTTCTGTAAGTTCCCCATTTTGATTTTTTGACTATTCATCCAGGATTCTTCCAAGCAAACAGGCTTCCTCGTCCTACATGTGAGATGGGTCACTGTTTCTTATAATCACTTTAATGTTACTAAGGCCTTAATAATGGGAAATAGCAAAGTTTACACCATACATCCCCACAGCCTTTGCTAAGTCCTTATTTAGTCCTCATCCTGCATTCCACAAGAAATCCTCTGTGGGAAGTGGAAATTATCTGCCTCCTCCCATCTTTTTCAATATATCCTTCCCATTTGAAAAACAACTGGGATCTACACACAAATCATCAGGTCTCCCCCACACATATATCTGTGAAGGAAAAAATTACACAAAGCAAAGTGAAGCCTTTCTAACTGGGAGACAGGTGAAGAAAAGCTCAGGACTCTTTCCACATTGAACTACCCATCTTCAATCTACATTTGCATTGTTTATGCAAGCTTCTGTCAACAAGACTGGCTGGTGTTCATAATAAAACATTCAAGACACCTTTTACTTCTTCTGAGGTTACACTCATGATATCTAAGAATAAGCCTGGTTTTAGTTTTGAAAAGGGGAGCTTCTATAAACTACACTTATATAGAGGAAAACAGACATAGCATGGTAACAATAATTTCAAAAACAGGAAAACGGAAAGAAGCCCGATTTCTACTGTCTCATCTTTGCAGACTCCCAAATGCATTCCCTGCAGAGGGGAACCAAGCACGTCCCCTGCACTGCACAGCTTTTCATGAAACTTACTATCACTAAATTTTTTGTCCCTCTGTCAAATTTCATCAAAACTAACCAAAAAGTTTCAAAAGCCTTCAGAATGGAGAAGAGGTAACAGTGATACGGAACTATCACATTGGTCATGTCTTCTCAGGTAATCAGTTCAAAAGTAGACCCAAAATAATGGGAGAACCAGGCCAAAGCTGAGCCGTGAAGAGTGTGGAAGAGGACGCTCAAGACTGAATTCTTACTTAGAGGTTCTCACACGCAAAGTAACTTCACCCACATTTTGCCCGCTGGATTTGCCTGAGTTTGCTTTCTGCAGGACAAACTGTGATCTGTAAAACACAGAGCCCAAAACCGCTGCTATGACAAGCTCTTCTCAAAAACAGCCGAGCCATTCTCACTGGTTGTCACAAGCTCGTCATATGCAGCAGCCAGCCTCTGTGTTGCTTCAGTCCAGCAACTGCATCCCAAACTCCTGTGTGTACCTGAATCACCTGAAGGCACCGTATGATCCTGCGCAATAAAGGCCGAATCAGTAAACTGCCTGAGGTAGATTCTTTCCATTGCTAAACAAACCCCGGCTATTTCTGCCAGAACTACGTTTGTCAGCAGCAGCTCCAAGCACTACACTGTCTGGCACAAAAACTAAAGAAGCTTAAGCACACAGTTTGGGAACCTTCATGACTTCAGCAAAAATCCTGAATCTATTCACTTTGTATTTAGCCCAAAATCAGCACTCAGAAAGACTTCATGCAACATAGAGGACAATAACATAATATTGCATTGTTTATTTACTACCATCATCTTTTGCCGTAAAAATTAATTCTAGGCTTGTCATGATAGTCCGTAACATTGCAAAAACTTCAGGACCAGCTTTAAATCATACCGCTTAATTTATTTTTGCCTGCTTGTTCTTCTTCTTTCATTTTTTTCTTTTTAATTTCTAGTAGTTCTGCATCAAACTTGGCTTTCCAATTCAGGAAATTCTCAATGGTAACAGGAGTGCCATGAAAACGTTGCTGAAAGAACAGAAAACAAGGCTGCAAACACAACTTGCAAAGCTATGAGTAAAGATGAACATTCTCTTAATTATTTAAATTACAACATATCAGAAGCACTGCTTGCTGAGAAGTATTCTGGGAAATTAATCCTAACCCTGAAAGTATAAAAGGAACACATTCTTACCGGTTTTTGTCATGGGACTCTCCCTTTGGAGAGCTGTACTGAGGTGGAAGTTCTTATGGAAAAAACCTGTGTACTACTTTTGGATCTACAGTGTGATAGCTAGCAACAAACCACCCAAACTGGTCATCCATAAGTAGGCAGCACTACTTATCAACTTCTAAGTGCAATCTACAATGAAATATTTTCCATTAAAATACATTAACCCTTCTATCTTGTTGAGACAGAGAAAAGGATTCTTTTTTTTCCCCAGCTATTCTTCTTTCATTTCCAGAAATACTGAACCTTCCAGGTCCCATCACCCTCTAGTCATTTCTGAGGAAGAAAGTGAAGGCTCAGAAGTCGGCTTTATCACAGCACATTCCACTAATGGAAAAACTAGTCCACAGTACTAATGGCACATGCAGGCAGGACAAACCAGTCTTGAAGACAGGTCCCACTGCTTCCACTTCACCCACTCAGTCTACCCAGTAAGAGACATTTCCTCAGACTATGCAGCCTGTGTGCTGCATGCCATATTCTACCCTGCTTTGCTCCCCATCCCCTTTTGCCTCTTTAAGCAAAATAACTGGGTATTCAACTTCATCTGGGAAAAATCCTTGCCTTAGGAAGCGATGCTAAAAAGAATTGTGAACATGCGACACACCTCTAAAAAGACTGCTTTAGAAGAAGCAGGAGGAGGGAATGACTTAAGTGAACTCAATAATCTGCTAGTCCAAGAACTGGTCCTGCATCAGACCCATGTGTTTAGAAAAAGCTGGAAAACTTTAGTCAAAACCATTATTTTACATACTTTCTCCTCTTCTTCTGCTTCTCTTTCTTTCTGTTTCTTTTCCTCTTCTCTTCGTGTTTTTATTTGATCCACTATTTCATTTAACTTCTCCTGTACTGCTGAGACTAGAGTGAAGATCATTACCATTCCTAAATTTTCTTCTGCCTACAACACAAAGAAGACAATTTCAACCAGAAGAAACTAAAACCTTCAGCAGCTGAATGCACAAGTACATTCAGAAAGCAGTATGCTGTGCAAATACAGATAACCCAGTTGAGGCACGCTGCACCAGTCTCAAAAGCTCGCTACAAAATTCAAGTCAACCGGCCAATTAATCCAGTTAAAGTGACGTTCAGGCGGCTACGTAGAAAAACACTGACAATGAACACCCGTGTTCAGGTTATCAATGAATTAGAGACATCTAAAAACTTTTTCATTAACAAAAAACAAAGTAGAAATACAAATCCCAGGACTTGGGTATCATAAGGGATAACAGTCACTCATAACCTCTCCTCTTCTGAAATGGTTTATTCCTTAATCCCATTACATGCCCCTTTAAAACGGGACAGCTTTCCGGGAAAAAGAAAACACATCAGTTGATGGAAGGAAGGTTACATGGAGTAAAGTGAAGTGAAGTGAAGTGAAGTGAAGTGAAGTGAAGTGAAGTGAAAGAATGCCTACTGAATCTATTATGGCAATCTGAAGGCAGGAAGGACTTGTCAAAAATTCCTGATGCCAAAAGAAACGTTTCCTCTTCATTCCTTCACAATGCTCTCACTGATCCCAAAGGTTGAGGACATTCATGCCCTTTCCCTGCAAATAGTTGTTATTCAAAAAAATAAAGTATCAGTGGAGCATTTTTTAGTCTTTCCAAATAAAAGTGGCTTAATTCCAGAAATATTGTATACACAAACATATTCACCTTAAGCTAGAAGTACAGAAGAGAGGAAGCCCTAGAGCACTTCTGTTTCATTATTATACCTGTGCACACTGAGTTAGCCCCTTCATGTCATTAACATAATTTACCTCAATAATGTCATGTACCAAATTCGTACCCCAAAGTCAGTTCTGACAGTACGGAACATGTTTTGAATCAGTAGCACATACCTCGGGAAACAACTGATTTGAGAGCGAAATTCTAGCTAAAGTGTAAACTGATACCAAGCCAAACTGAGATATTCCGTTTTTCTTACCTGTTGTTCTAGTAGTTTTATTACGTCTGTGACATCATTATCGTCAAGATTCTCCTGTGAGACAACTTCATAAAGCGGAGTTTCATCAGGATATTTTTCTCTATAGGTAAATTTAAGGGTTGTTTGGACAGCTACAAGACACAAACCACATATGGTGATAACTTCATATGACTTTAATTGTATATTTCCCTATTGCATCAGCAGCCTGAAGATTTTAAAACCATAACACATTCTTGTCTTAAAGGAAGAGTCATCTTACATAGGCATTAAAGCTATATGAACAGACTTCACTATAATTCAAGAGTTCTGAGAAATTAAGATGATGAAGTTTACTCTTACATAAACTATTACAGACTATTAATGTCTGAAAGGTGTTTAGAAAGACTGGAAAACCTTCTGCAGTACAGTGGGTACTAGAGCAGTAATCTCTTTTCCCTCATATTCCACTTAAAGCTGGAGAAAATGAGGCAGTGTCCTAACAACAGATTTAGAGAGAATCTCAGCCTATTAATGCTTGAAATGCTGCATGCCTGGCTGGAGTATCGACCTCTGTGTGGAGTATCAGGGCTCCCCATAAAACTTACGACAAGGACACAACATCTGGTAAAATATAACGAGCAGAAAACCACTTAAGGAGAACACACTCAAGCTGAAGCTACCCAGAGCTAGGATCATGAGGAAACAAGGCAAAAGAGAATCACATTCCTTTCACACATCCTGCCAAAATATCAGTGAGAAAGCTTCCAAATAGAAGTGGCTTATTTCTTAGTTCTTCAAGACTCACAGTACCAGCAGCCCAGCAGTCTCTCCGGCATAGACACCTGCTCCTAGCACTACTTGTTCCTTTAAAACCGAAGGAGACAGCACCAGTTTCTTCCTTCTGACACAGTAACCCAGAACAGCAGTTCTCAAGCTTACTTGGAGCGAGCTTTGCTTACAACAAGCCTGCGTGATCATTGCTGCCCAAAAAAGCAGACAGGAAATTGGGACCCACAGCTCTTGAAAAGAATCATCTGGGAAGCCGGCTGTAAGCTCCTATGGGGGTGATTACAACTCATTCTTTTTGAATCTACTCTGCAAAGCATTTGAGCATCAGCATGTCAGAAAGTAACATCTGTTGTGAGCGCAACGTTTCTGCAAACTAAACACATATCACCACACTCCTTAAACTACATTTTCTGAGGAATACTTTCGGGATGAGGCTCCTAAGAGGACTTCAGTGGAGGTATACCTAGTTGCTGACAATAGAATTAGGCTTATAGAGAAACTGTTCCTATATATGTTTAAGACATGATCAACTTACTTTCATCATTTTCTCCTGCTTCAGATGTCACAGTGATTGTAAAAGTTGTTGGCTTTTCTGACAATACTGTTCAAAGAAAAAATGAGACATAGAGAGATTCCTTAAATCAGACAATTTCTTCTTTGCATGATTAGAAATTAACTTCTCAAGGACAAGTGCAGCAAGGAAGCTCTGCATAAGGTGTCAAGGGACTTTTTACTCTACAAATAAATACTTTTCAACTGACAGCTATTTTCCAAAGGATGTGATGTTTGGAGTGAATGAAAGCCTATAACATCAACACCACCAACAACTTTTTCTTTCGCAAGCTTCACTTGTCAAAAAACCACAAATCTACCCATCATCAAATGACATGTTAGTGCAGTGGATGCGTGAAGAAAGCTCCCAAAGCTAATTTGCATCTTCTCCTAGATATGAGCGTGTGAAGAGCATCCAGTACACTCTTAACCCTGGACTATTTTTACAGTAAGTCTGCACCTATTTCTATATTTAGGACAGCTTAACGTAACAAATGCTTCTTTAAACAAAAAAGGAATATAGTTCTCTCCTTCAAGAATATACTACCCAAGCAATGTCCAAGAATGAAATTGTGTGAACATCGCGGCCAGAAGATAAACAGCTCTAGAGAGATACAAAAAATATAAGCCCTGTGAGCTGTAGTTTCACAGACTAAAAACCTCATTGCACAACTTTGGGTTACAGATCATATCCTCAAATAAGGACTGCTCTCTATAGCTGTTATAACCTATGTCCAACCTAGCATATATGCTCTAACAGTATTAATTCAATTTTTCCCAACTGCTAATGTACTACTACAATCTCTTTCCCCTAACCTAATCCTAACCCCTGCCTCTTCTTTTAGGAATATGAGCATTGCATAAACAAAAAATAACTAATACTAAGCATTAGAATAGAGGCTATATTAAAGTATAAAATAATGTATTATAGGCACCATAAGTGATTCAGCATCCTCAGCTAGCAGAAATCAATTTATACACCTCTACCAAAACACCAAAGAGAACCTAAAAGATTTTCAGATTAAAGCAATGGGCAACCATACTGGGTAAATGTCTGTGTGATGAAGTTACTGCCAAGTATGATATGGTGAGACTCGGCAGAGCAGATCCTGTGCAGGAAGGAAACAGAAAATACACAGGGTTTTTCACATCAAATTTCTTTGGATAGAGAGCACCATAAATGACACTAGATTAGGCAGTATGGCAGATGCTCTTCATTGTCCAATGCTAACTAGCAAGACTTGAAAATCCAACCAACGTATCCATCACATCAAAGTTTTAGCAATGGAATGTACTGCAACTGTGAGTTAGAGCTTGCCTGTGTGCCACCACGGACCTGAAATGGAGTAAGGCATTTCCAGAGGGAAACAGCGCCTTTAAGCACCCCAGTGCACCCCGTGCTCCAGAGCTGCAAGAAGCTATCAGCACACAGGGACGCTGGTCGGCACACCGGCCGATTCCCCAA